TAGTGTAGGGGGCAGGCTTGCAGTGTATACCCTTTGGTTGGTTGATGATGCATGGAGGGTACTGGAACCATGGCAATGAAATGAATGTAAAACTAATGTTCTCCCAGGTAAACTATCATATAATTCACAATAAAACATTTATGAAAAAAAAAAAAATGCTGCAAAGGACCTCTTAAAAATTCTTAAAAGCAAAGCTATCACTTTATGGTGCTCTTGACCTCATATGTATGTGAGTGTTGGACAAAGAAAAAAGAAGATAGAAGAATAATTGATGGACTTGAATTGTTGCTTTGGCAAAATCAAACTCAATGCCATCAAGTAGTGACCCCATAGGACAGAGCAGAACTTCTCCATAGAGTTTCTAAGCAAACTGCCTCATCTTCTCCCTGTGGAGCAGCTGGTAGATTCAAACCCCCAACCTTTCTGTTAGAGATTAGCAGCTAGCAATCCAATGCTTTATCTATTGTGCCACCAGGGCTCCTTGGTGTTTATGAAGATTATCAAATATACCACAGACTGCCAAAAGAATGAACAAATCAGTCTTCAAATAAATACAGCCTGAATGCTCCTTAGGAGTGAGGATGGTGAACATGTCGTTAGGAAAGACAATTGATAGAAAAATACATAATGTTTGGTGAAGTGGAGGGTCACTGAAAATGAGGAAAACCTTAAATGAAAGATGAATTGACATAATATCCTTAACAATGGGCTCAAACATCAAATTTGGATCATGGGGAGGGCGCAGGAGTGGGCATTTCATTCTATTATACATAAGGTCAATACGAGTCACAGTCTACTCAACAACTAGAAACAGCATATGATTCACCTTGTTAAATATTCTACAAACACTGAAAATACTGACTTGGGTCAGATTCATCTTAGTGCTAAACATGACAACTTTGTTTTTAATACTTTAAGGAAATATTTTGCAGCAAATTTGTTTATTGCAATACATCATTTGATTTCTTGACCGCTGCTTCCATAAGGGCTGATTGTGGATCCAAGTAAAATGAAATCTTTGACAACTTCAATATTTCATTTGTTTTTCAGGACATTGTTTATTGGTCCAGTTGTGAGGATTTTTTCTTTTATTTATATCAAGGTACATTCCATACTGAAGGTGGTAGTTGCCGATGCTCATCAGTAAGTGCTTCAAGTCCTCATCACTTTACTAAATGTATGCTTGGGACCTTACCTTACACCTAATGCAAAAATCAACTCAAAATGGATCAAAGAAAGGTGATGTTGTGGCAAATGATAGAATAGGAAGTTCCAGAGGATGGTCCTGTCACCAAAACAAGCATGTCATATTTATTCTATAAACTGAACCATCCCTTCTTAAGTTGTCCTGCTTTCTTTTCAAGTGATGAGAAACTCTTAAAATTTTTAAAAAATTAAAATCTAGTTGAAACATTCTCATTCTTTTCTTAATTTACCTTTCTATATTAACTATATGGTTCTTGAATAGAAACAGAAGGAAGTACCAAAATCAAAAGATATTATCATGTCTGACATTGTAAAAGTACTTACCAAAAAAAATGTTGTTTGGTTGGTTATATAATTTATATTAATTTAAGTAAGAGTAGGACCTCTTTTCAATGTATATTAAATATAACAGAATTAAAGAACTGAAAGGAATCTCAGAAGGTTACCTAGTTCATGTATCTGTCTTTAAGTAGAACTCAAAGTATCTCAAATAACTATTATAATCTTAAAATATCTCCTGAGAACATTTTATAGCATTCCTTCTAAATAAGCAGCAAAATCCAGATCCAAACCCACTGCCATCCAAATCATGGTATTTTCAATTCTGAGTCATAGTGACTCTATAGGACAGAATAGAAGAACCGCTCCTTTGGGTTTCTAAGACTTCAAGTCTTATGGGAGCAGACAGCCTCATCTTTGTTCCACAGAATGGCTGGTAGGTTTGAACCACTGATCTTGTGGTTAGCAGTTCAACATTTAACCCACTGCACCACCAGGGCTTCTTCCACTAAGCATAAGAACTTAAAAATTTTTTGTCTAAAAATTTTTTAATATAATTTTGGCTTACAGTAAACATTATTATTCAGACAATAACCTAACGTACAGCAATGACCTTGCATGTACTCAATTCTATGTTTCCAATGGAAGAAGTATGAAAGCAAAGAGTTCAAAGTCTTAGTCATAGATAATTTAACAAAGTTCACCATTTTTTTGAAGATGGTCATGGTGTGGCACTGTAGGATAAGCACTAGACCTCAAGGTCGTTTTAACCACAAGGTTGGTCATTCAAACTCACCAACTGCTCCTCAGAAATCCTATACAGGGTCGCTATGAGTCAGAAACAACTCGACAGCACTTAACAACAACACCTTTTTTAAACTAAAAACACCTTGATTTCAGGGGCTAGTTCTGTTTCAGTTTTTATGCCTGGAACATTCCACTAGACCCTGTGGCATGACCATGGTAGAAACTAAAAATGCTAATCATGTTGGACTGAACCAACAGAGGATCAGTAAGCTTTGCCTTACTTGATTGTTGCCTTCCTCATCATCCTCATCACAGTCTAGGCCTTGATGGGTGATCTCAGTAGTGTTGTTCTCCTGAAAGAGATTTTTCTCCAAACTAGGCGCTCTGGTGGCCTCAGTTGTGACTTTTACTTTCATGCTGTGAAATCCAGTGGAGACCAATCCCACTTGCAGGTTGACAGGCTCCCCTTCAAACAGCAGTATGTGTGAGTTCACCCCTTCTTTAAAACCAGGAGGTTGGTAGTCACGTGGGGTCACTGCAAAACGAAAAGAGCAGAAAGCTATACAAGAATATGTTTCAATAGAGCAACTCAGTTTAAGCTTTCATTTTTAGCAAAAGACATCACTTCCAATTGCTTTCAAAATCCTTCTATTATATAAAATATTAGTCCAGCACTTAAAGATTTGACTAGATGTTTCTACCTACCCTCATTATAGTAGTGAAGTTTCATAGTAAGTAGAACATTATTAGGAAGAGGTCCAAGGTTCTGCATAAGCATATACAATTTACGGATCAAAAAAACACTAGCTTTCTTAATGTCTTCACTGTTTGCTCCACTTTTCAAGCTTGTGCTGCTGCTATAACTACAGAGAAAAAACAGCATATTATTCAATAATATACAATATTGACAATATATTCCAAAAAGCACAAAAATCTTTACTATACGATCAAATACATATAAATTAAACATCAGAACATTTTTCAGGCTATTTTTAGAGTATAAATTAGTGAAGTGTTCATAATTTTTTCAACATGTATAAAAGGACATAATAGTAGCAAGTTCCCATAAGGCATTTTAAATATAACCTGATTTTTAAAAAATTGATTTACAAACATAAATACTCTAATAGTGAGCCGGAGAAAAATGAGACTTTCTGCTCCTGTAAAGATTTACAGCCTTGGAAATCTTGCACAGAGTCGCTGTGAGTTGGAACTGACTTCATGGCAAATAACCACCACCACCATCACCCACAATAGTGAGCATAATGGATTTGAAATCAAGAGACCTGGTAACTAATATTAGCTCTGCTGCTAATTAGCTGGATGACCTCAGTCAAGTCATTTAGACACTTTAGGTCAGTTAGTTCATTTGTGAGATAAGCCTACAAATATTTCCACACCTCTTCAATGGTTCTGGGTCTTTCTCCCATTTGGCTATCTCTTCTTACATGGATTAATTAATTCAACACTGTCTATCTAACTGTTCTTCCTATTTTCATTCTTGTCAACACTGCAAAACATTCTCTATACCACTGGCCAAATAATATTCCTAATAGGAAAATCTGCTAGCGTCACTTAAAATTCTATCACCTCCACCCATTAAGCTTGAGAAGGGTGTATGTGCTTTGCCTTTCATAGCAGCCCTGCCCTCACCTCCACTTTCGACTTCAGTTAATGTCCAGGTTCCTCTCACTATGTGCATTTGCATAGTCTGTTCACTTTGCTTGGAATATATGTTTCCTACTTCTCTTCTTGACTCTTACGAATGAACTTATCCTTTAATACCTAGTCAACGCGTCACCTCTTCAAGGAATATTCTCTGAAAAACACACCTTACCCCTTAGAATAACTATCTCTTTCAAACTAGATTGTGATTGGCTGCATCCTTCAACTCCATAATACCTAGCGACAGTAAATAGTCAATAAACATCTGTTGAATTGAATTAATTCAGGAATAAATATGTATATTAGACCAAATTGCCTTCCAATCCTATAAGGTTTTTATTTCTCCAAAGTTTTCTTTCCCAATTAGTTTCACAGAATGATTTCCAGGAAAGAATATTTTCACAATGCCTTGTGCATAATAAGCATTCAATATTGAAAAAAATAATAATCCTAAGTGAATAATTGGATTTTCCTCTAACTCTTTGGAAGCAGTGTAAATTCAAAAAACAAACATTTATTAGGTGAATGTATTATCTCATTTTCCAACCTTGAGCAAATTAAAATAAAGCTTTATGACCCTGATTTAACCAATTTGAACAGAGGTAACAGAATGAAGGACAAAGTCTTGTAGCTAATGGGATCCTTCAGTATACATCAGTAAAATCATATTCAGAATTCCCTTACATTCCTCTAAAAAGGAAATTTTGTTTACTATGGAAGAGTTGGCAAAGTCATTTTCTGTGAAGAATCATTTAAACAAATACCTATCTTTGGTTTCTAGGAAATAGTAATATGCATTACCTTTTCTCCTAGTTACTACCTGAAAGATTTGGCCAATTTAGTTTTAGTGCTTACCTCTTGGAATATGTGCCTTCATAAATCTGGTTGTAGTATTGTTAGTAGCACATAGGTTTGAATTATATAGAGTTAAAGGACAGCTGTTTTATTCGAGGTCATATATATTTTAAAGTGCTGTACAATTGATTAACTGCTATAACAACCACCATCCCTCTTCCCCACAAAAATCAATCCCATTGCTGTCAAGTTGATTCCAAATCATAGCGACTCTAAAGGGCAGAATAGAACCTTCCCATAGGGTTTCCAAGGCTGAAAACCTTTCCTGAAACAGACTGCCACATCTTTCTCCGATAGTACAAATGGTGGGTTCAAGCTGCCGACCTTTCCCAAACACTTAACTATTGCACCATCCAGGCTATAGAGATGATAGCTAATGATAGTTAATATCATTTACATTCTCATTTCCAGAACTTAAATGTGTCTTCTCCATACTCCTAGTAAGTCTTACAAATAAGAGGATAATTAAATCTTGAAGAGAAATTCTCAATTCATGGTAAGTGATGAGACAGAGCTAAAAGTGGAGAAACAGGCTGAGGCCACATTTCACTTCCATCATTCATCTCAGTTGTTGTTGTTGTTAAGTGCCTTTAAGTCGATTCTGACCCATACCGGCCCTGTATAGGGTTTCCAAGGAGCAGCTGGTGAGCTTGAACCACCGACATTTCAGTTCAAACGGATTTGCAGTCTGGCACATTAACCTACAGCGCAGTAGTACCTATAAATTGAGTGCTCCAGAACGTCTCACTTCTCTTCTTCCTTCCTCCTCCACTTATATTCCATCTCATCAGCTAGCTGTACTTAAGTCTCTATGCCTTCTGACTGATCTGTGATTTGAAAACTGCATCCAAAAAACACTGGGAGAGGAATAAATGCTGCTGCTGCTATCTGTCATTGAGTGACTTGCAACTTGTAGCACCTCTACCTACAACAAAAAGAGACACTGCCTGGTCCTGTGCCATCCTCACAAATGTTGATATGTCTGAGCCCACTGTTGCAGCCACTGGAACAAAACATCTCATTAGGGACTTTCTCTTTTCACTGGTCCTCTACTTTACCAAGCAGGTTGTCTTTGATAATATATGTCCAAAGTACCTAACACCTGAAATTTCACCATCCTTGCTTCTAAGGTGCATCCTGGATGTACTTATTCAAAAATGACAGTATAGTCACTATTCTTAAGCAACACCATGATTCAAAGGCATCAATTCTTCTTCAGTTTTCTTATTCATTACCCAGCTTTTACATATGTATGAGGTGACTGAAAAACATGGCTTGGGTCAGGTGCACCTTAGTCTTTAAAGTGACATCTGCTTTTTAGCACTTTCAAGAGGTCTTTTGTAGCAGATTTGCCCAGTGCAATATGTCCTTTGACCATTGCTGCTTCCATGGGTGTTAACTGTGGAACCCACTAAAATGAAATCCTTGACAACTTCAATGATTTCTCCATTTATCATTATGTTTATTGGTCAATTTGTGAGGATTTTTATATCTTCATGTTGAGGTGTAATGCATATTGGTTTGAACTGCAAGGTCGGCGGTTCAAGCTCACCAGTCGCTCTTTGGAAACCCTGTATAGGGTCGCTATGGGTCGGATCCGACTGGATGGCACTTAACAACAACAACAACAACAATGCATATTGGAGGTGACAGTCTTTGATCTTCATCAGTGCTTCAAGTTCTCTTCACTTTCAGCAAGCAAGGTTGTGTCATTGGCATATTGCAGGTTGTTAACAAGTCTTCATCCAACCCTGATGGAACTTTCTTCTTCATATAGTCCAGCTCAGCATACAATTTGAATAAGTATGGTGAAAGTTTACAACCATGACACACACCTTTCTTTATTTTAAACTACTCACTATCCCTTGTTCTGTTTTTGGTTTATGTACAGGTTCCTTATGAGCACAATTACATGTCCTGGAATACCCATTCTCCCCAATAGTTTCCATAATTTGTTGTGATCCACACAGTTGAATGTCTTCACATAGTAAATAAAATGTAAGTAAGCATATTTTTTTTTGTATTCTCTTTCAGCCAAAATTCTTCTGTCATCAGTAATGATCTTCCTGAATCTGGCTTGAATTTCTGGTGACTGCTATAACACTTTATGAATTATCTACAGAAAAATTTTACTTGCATATGATACTAATGATATTGGTCGATGATTTTCACGTCCCATTGAGTCATCTTTCTTTGACTTGGTACAAATATGGATCTCTTCCAATTGCTTAGCCAGGTAGCTGTCTTCCCAATTTCTTCGAATAGACAAACGAGTGCCTCGAGCACTACATCAAATTTGTTGAAACATCTCAACTGGTATCCTGTTAATTCATGGAGCCTTGTCTTTTGCCAATGCCTTCAGTGCAGCTTATATTGTTTCCTTCAAAACCATCAGTTCCTGATCATATGTTACCTCCTGAAATGGTTGTGCTGTTCTTTTTGGTAGAGTATCTAATAATGGTTGTTGCTATTGTTGTTGTTAAGTACCATCGAGTCAGTTCCAACTCATAATAACAGGTCTCCAGGGAGTGATTGGTGGGTTTGAACTGCCAGCCTTGCAGTTAGCAGTCCAGTGCTTATCCTATAGCATCTCAATAAAACATCTGTACTGGGTTGTTGTTGTTGTTGTTGTTATGTGCCGTGGAGTCAGTTCCAACTCATAGGGACCCTGTATGCCTTGGTTTCTGAGGCTGTAAATCTTTACGGGAGCCAAAAGCCTCATCTTTCTCCCACGGAACAGCTGATAGTTTCGAACTGCTGACCTTGCAGTTCACAGCTCGATTCGTAACCACTATGCTGAAAATGTCCTTGTCTTTTTTACTTAATCCTTACTCCATTGACAGCTTAGAATTTCAGAGTTGTTAGGAAAATGCAGTACTTTCTAGCCATTTCCATATAATACACACATAGAAAATTATATTTGTAGAATTGGGGAAAGCAGATGAAACTGCTTGTGTTTGTAAGGCACATAATTCAGGGCTTTAATCTACCTTAAGCTATGCCTGGCAATATTTGTACTGAGGGCTGAGAAAATCAATGTCTTGATATAGAAATTTAGAAGATTTGGGCTAGTGGAGTCTTATGAAATTCTCCAATCAGCACCATGTAGACCGCTTACTAACATATCTTTTACTTTTATACCTCCAAAGACTATCACTATCATCACCACTACCCTGTAAGATGAGTACTGAGCTACTAACTACAAGGTCTGTAATTCATGAAAGATGAGGCTTTCTGCTCCCACAAAGCTTTACAGTCTAAGAAACCCTATACAGGATCACAATGTGTCAGAACCAACTTAAGAACAACAACAACTGAGTACCACTTACTGAGTGTTTATGAGGTGCCAGGTATAGGCAAAAACTTTACATATACATTATAATTTAATAATCACAGTGACTCTATGAGATAGTTACTATTATTAGAGGCATAATGCAGATAAAAACATTAATATTTAGGAAAGTGGAGTTATCTATTCAAAGTTATATGACCAAAAATTGTCACTGCTCTGGTGACACAGTGGGTTAATCATTGGGCTGTAAACTGCAAGATTCATGGTTCAAAAACCCACCAGCCACTCTGTGAGAGAAAGATAAGGCTGGTTGCTCCTGTAAAGAATTACAGCATCAAAAACCTCAGGAGCAGTCCTCCAGGGTTGCTATGAGTTGAAATTGACTTGATAGTGGTGGGTTTTTAGCTTGGTTCAATAGTCAGAGTCAGGGATCACTGATATCTCTGCCTTGGCATTTGGAACTCTTAACCACTAAACTTGCATTAGAAACTACAAACACCACCTTTGAAGAAAAGGAGAGAAGAAAGCCTTTACTCCTATTAACTTCATCCCCGGATGTCAGATATTTTAAAATGTATTATTGTCCCTTTTTATTATAATTGTTTTCAGAAGAGTTGGTAAGGAAGTTGTGAAAGAAGTTCAAGACATAGCTCTGGCTTCAAGAAGCTTATATTTACCTCAACCCCACATATTTGTCATGTTCATTTTTAAAAGTTAGATTCTACCTGTCAAAATCCATAATGGCTCCTTCTCTTGTATATTTGAATTTGAACTGGTATAGCTCAGTCACTTCCTAGAAGCATCAAAAGGAATAGAAAAAGAAATTACTTTAAAGCTTAAGCCTGAACTCACCCCCAGAGATAGACTTCCAGCCAAACAATTTGTTGTTGTTGTTAAGTGGCTATAAAGTGAGGACCTATTCAAGGCACTTAACAACAGCAACATAAAGTGAGGGACATTCAACTTCAGAAAACCAAAAGGGCAGAATTTACTCCAAAACAAAAGACAGGAAGGGGCAGGAAAGGAGGATGATTGGAAAAGGGAATCCAGAGAAGTGGGAAGAGTGTTGTTACATTGAAGGGATTACTTCCAATGTCACCAAATAAAATACATATGAATTGTTGAATGGGAAACTATTCTGTAAACATTCAGTCAAACTATTATTTTAAAAAATACATAAATCCAGAATCTCATCTGATAAGGAATGTTTTCATTGTATCCCTACTATACTTTCTATATATTGTTTTTCAGTATTTCATTATTCAGAAATAATACTTCCAAATATAAAAGTAATTTTCTCCTCCACAATAAAAATTAGTTAGATGGCAAATACTACCACTACCATTTTACAGCTGGAGAAACTAATGCATAGAGTCAAGTATCTGGCGCAATGTAAGTAAACAACAGTGGGACCAATTGAAAAAAACATTCATTTTATGACAAATATTTACTGAACACCTACTTTGTGCCAAGCACTGGAGTCCCAATGATAAATATGAAAGAAGAGGTCTCCATTTTTCTGGTGCATACAGTGAAGTGGGTGGGAGGAACGTTGTTGATACTCTAGATACTGCCTCAGTTTCTCTTGGTTATGATGAGTGTTAGAAATGAATCCCGATGTCGCATAAAAGACACTTGGTGAGACTAAACTACCTTGGCAAAGTAAAATTTATTCTTGCAAGAGGGTGCGTGAGCATAGCTGTACATACACGAACAGGCTAGCGAGCACACCGAGTGGGCACCCTCTTGCAAGAGTAAATTTTACTTTGCCAAGGTAGTTTAGTCTCACCGAGTGTCTTTTATGTGACATCGGGATTCATTTCTAACATGAGTTACCACAAGCGCTTACCAATAAACACTGGAGAAATCCAATCTGTACTAATTTTAATCAGAGTGAGGTTTTCTTTATTTGATTTTGCAAAAATGGATGCCCAACCTAGTTTATTGTTATGTTGTGAAGTGCCATCAAGTCAGTTCCGACTCATAGCGACCCTGTACAGGGTTTCCAAGGAGTAGCTGGTGAGCTTAAACTGATGGTGCTGCAGTTCAAATGGCTTTGCAGTCTGGCACATTAACCCACAGTGCCACAGCAGGACTCCAGTAGACAAAGGAAAATGTACCACATGGCTGGGTCACAAAGAGTTTTATTTCCCTGCCTGGAGAAAGCCCCTCCCCCAGTTCCTGTTTTCTAGTCAAACTATTTCTTCCCCTCCCCTGAGCTCCTTTTGTTATGCTATCCTGCTACCTCCCAAGACTCCCCTCAGATCTGAAGATGGACCACCCCAGAAGTATTTCTCACAGTAAGGGAGATAGTCAATAAATAAGTAACCAACAGAACAATTTAAGATTGTGATAAATGCCTTGAACACTATTAAGCAAATATTGTGAGAGAAAATGCATGAAGGGGAGGGGTGCAGATTTGGTTTGAAAGAGCTGAGGAAGGTCTCTCTAAAGAGATGACATTTGAACTAAGCCTTGTGCAGAATGAGGGGGTCTGGGTGGGGAGGGGGGAGGATAGTAAACTGGAAACAGCAATGCAAAAGTTCTCACAGACTTGGTCTGTTACAGGATTAGAAAGGAGGCCACATGGTTGGAGATTAGTGAACAAGGAGGAGACTGTAATAGGAAAGGTTGTAGAGGAGTCTTTGTGGCTTTGCTAGACCCAGGAAGAGGTTTGGATATTATTTTAAGTGAACCATAAGATATTGAAGTGTTTTAAGGATGTGTTATGGATTGAGTTGTGTGTTCTACAAAAAGATACACTGAAGTCTTAACCTATAGTACCTCATTTGGAAATAGCATCTATATGACTAATGAGACCAATTTGGGGTAGGGTGGGCCCTAGTCTAAATTGAATAAATTATATCATCTTGTAAGAAAGATGAAGAGACATCGAGAGACAGACAAAGGGAAGATGGCCAGTAACCTAGTTTGGGAACAGGGTTTTTAATGATGTTATCAGTTAACAGGAGGTAATTGAGGAGTAGTTGTTGTTAAGTGTCATCTAGTCAGTTCCATCTTTATAAGTTTTCTAAGGAGCGATTGGTGAATTTGAACCACCGACCTTGTGCTTCCTTATCCTATAGCACCACACCAGGACACCCGTTCAGGAGTTGTTACTGCTAAGTGCTGTCAAGTCAGTTCTGACCCATTGTTGTTGTTGTTGTTGTTGTTGTTGTTGTTGTTGTTGTTGTTGTTGTTAGGTGCCATTGAGTTGGTACTGACTCATAGCAACCCTATGTACAACACAACACTGCCCAGTCCTGGTCTAACCTCACCATTGTAGCCATGCTTGAGCCCATTAATGCTGCCATTTTGCCCATCCATTTCCCTGGGGATCTTCCTTTTTCTTTGATCCTCCACCCTACTAGTAACTGGTCCCTCCTGACAATAGGTCCGAAGTATGAAAGACTAAGTATGGCCATCCTGGCCTCCAAGGAGCACTCTGGTTGTAGTTCTTTCAACACAGACCTGTTTGTTCTTTTGGCAGCCCATAGCACTTTCAATATTCTCCTCCAACACCATAACTCAAATGCATCAATTCTTCTATGATCTTCCTTATTCACTGTTCAATTTCGCATGCATGGTTATTGAAAATACCATGGCTTGGGGCAGGCGTACCTTAGTCCTCAAACTGACATCTTTGCTCTTCAACACTAAAAAGGTCTTGTGCAGCAGATTTGCCTAATGCAATACGTCATTTGATTTCTTGGCTGCTGCTTCCATGAGTGTTGATGGTCTGACCCTAGCAACCCTTTATAGGGTTTCTGAGTAGCAGCTGGTGAGCTTGAACTGCCAACCTTGTGGTTCAAATGACTTTGCAGTCCAGCGCAGTAACCCACAGTGAGTAGGGTGGGTTATAATTTAATCTAAATAGTGTTCTTATAAAAGAGACACACAGAGACAGACAGTGGAAAGATTGCCAATGACCTCATCTGGAAATTCTGGACTAAGATGGGTCTTAGTGTAATATAAGGGGCATCCTTGTAAAAGAGAGGAAGAGACATAGAGAGACAGATGGAGGGAAGCTGGTCATGAGAAAGAAACTATGCTGAGGCATTAAGCCAAGGTATGCTTGGTCCTACCAGACACTTATAGAGAAAAATGGATCTTATCCTACAGCTTTCAGAGAGAATATATCCCTTTCAACATTCTGAATTCACAATACTAACCTTCAAACCTGTGCAACAATAAATTTGTTTTTATTATCCACCCAATCTGTGGTACTTTGCATGGCAGCCCTAGTAAACTGATACAGAATAGGAACAAAGCTTCTCAGCTCTCTTGCTCCATGGGTTGGCAAGCATACCTCTGCTGAGAAGTACCCAGAAGCACCCTCCTCTGCCAAGAAGTCTCCAGTCCAAAGGCATTCAGATCTCTTGCTCCATGGGTCAATTCCCACACTGTCTCACACAGCCTCCTGGTTCTGTTGCTGCCATTTCTCTGTCACTGCTTCTCATGATCTATGTCATCTCTATGTCACAGCTCTCCTCACTTCATTCTGAACCCTCACTAGAATTACCTTTGTTATCCATAATCCCACCTTAACTCCCTTACAACTGATTGATTGGCTGATCACATCAGGTAACATTATGAGAGATGATTATACCATTAACAAAATTGCCAAATTACATCATTATGTAACAGGCAAGCCACTGTGAATCATGGCCCAGCCAAGTTAACACATTTAGGGGGAACACAGTTCAATCCATGGTGGCAGTCAATAAGGGGAGAATTTCATTGGCAAAAACAGGAAAAAAAAATAGAATTATGGCACATATCTCATTTACTCTTCCAAAAGACCATAGCATTAAGGATTCAGAATCAACTAAAATAAATAAGCAAGCAGAGATTTTTAATGTCAACGTGTTAGGAAACAGGATAAATTCGACTCTGCAGGTTTTGAAAATGTTCTAATCAAGAATGTACCAAGTTTCTTGTAGTGTATACCCTTTGGTTGGTTGATGATGCATGGAGGGGATTGTAACCATGGCAATGAAATGATATATGATAGGATGAATGTAAAACTAATGTTCTCACATGTAAACTATCACATAATTCACAATAAAACATTAAAAAACAAAAAGAATGTGCCAAGTTTATAGAAAAACACACACACACATATTGAAAGAGCTCACTGAGTTACTCTGCTCATAATGTCTATAACTTCAACTCAGGTAAACATGTTGTTGTTATATGCCGTGGAGTTGGTTCCGACTCACAGCGACCCTGTACAGGGTTTCCGAGGCTGGAAATCTTTACGGGAGCAGAAAGCCTCATCTTTCTCCTGCAGAAGAGCTGGTAGTTTCGAACTGCTGACCTTGCGGCTCGCAGCCCGATTCGTAACCACAGGTAAACATAGTCAAATATAATATCCATATACTGCTCACTCCTCTGTGTATGTTCTTACCTCAGGTTCATTGGGAGTTGTGTAAAGCTGTTTAAGGGAAAATAAACAGCATTTAATTTCTGAAACTTACTATGTTACTTTTCACAGAATACATTTTTCTGTTATGTTCTATTCAGTGCTGAAATTTATACATATTCATATTTTATCAAGCTAGAGACAAGATAAGCTCTTATTTTGTGAATATTGTTGTTGTTAAGTAATGCTGAGTCGGTTCCAACTCAGAGGGATTCAGTATAGAATTTCTGAGCAGTAGCTGGTGGGTTTGAACCACCGACCTTGCAGTTAGTAGTCCAGTACTTATCATACAACACCACACCAGGGCTTCTTTGGTGAACACAGAGAATATATGTTCTGTGAACAATGAATACAAGGGAATTGACAACCAGGCTTTTACCATTGTGACTGAGATACAAATAAATTCTAAATAATTTACTATGATTTAAAATATTTTAAATAAACATCTCAGACTTTTAATGGTATCGTTCTCATTTTTTTTTCCTATTCTTTACATATATCGTCTGTTATATCCAGAGGTTAGCCCACAAAACTTCTGAGTTTACAGAGTAATTTAAACAATGATATCCTGAGAACCAGCAGATAAATCCAGTATTATAATAAACATGGAGTGGTAAGTGATACTTGTAGGATAAAGCACTGGACTGCACGGTCACTTTGAATCTCAAGATTGATGGTTCAATCTCACCAGCCACTCCTGGGAAATCCTATTCAGAGTCACTATGAGTTGGAACCAACTTGACAGTACTTAATAACAACAACATAGCAATATACTTCCCATGGCAATATATATACTAAAGAAATATATAGACTTTTATTCTTATTAAAATTTCTGATAAACCTAAACCTACTACCATCAAGTTGATTCCAACTCATAGTGACTTAGGGTTTCTGGGAGTATCTTTCTCCCATGGAGTAATTAGAGGCTTTGAACTGCCACCTTGAGATTAGCAGCCCAATACTTAGCCAATTGCACCACCAATACGCCTAAGATCTCTGATAGATACTCCCCCCACTAAAAAAAAAAAAAAAAATGTTATAAGATAAAAAGAGAATGACAGAGAAAAGGAAGAAAAGTACTGTTTTAATGGTTCACTTCCCAAAAGACAATGAAATAGAGACAGAGGCTTGAGTATTTAAATGCATACTTACTATAAGAACTGCCATGTGGAGCTTCAAGAGAAAAGAAAAATATTAGTATTATATACTTATATCTACATAATTGTTATTTTCAATAGGGACTCCTAGTGTAGCACTGTAGGATCATCAGTGGACTGTGAACTATAAGGTTGTCAGTTCAAATCCACCAGCAGCTCCTCAGAAACTATGGTTCGGCACTATGAGTCAGAACTGACTCAATGGCATTTAAAATGAAATTCTAGTAAGTTTCCAAAGATTTGAAGGAGAAAAAATATTCAGACTGTCAAAGGTATACTAATCATTCATTCATTCAAGCGAGCGCCTATTATATACACAGGTCTCTGTTGGTAAGGTTGTTAGCTGCCATAGAATCCATTTCCTTATGTACATACAGAGTAGAACTAACTGCTCCATAGGAGCAAGGCTGTGACCTTCTGGAAGTAGATTGCCAGGCCTGTCTTCTGAGGTGCTTCTCGATGGGATGGAACCACCAACCTTTGGGTTAGTAGTACAGCCTTACCATTTCCACCATCCATGGGCTGGGAAGGGGAGGGATTTAAAAAAAAGTTAATTGTCCCCACTCTCTCAAAGTTATATTCTATGGTTTCCAATATGTCTGGGCGGGGCTAATAAAAGGCAATAGGGATAAGACTCATGTGGTATAATAGTGAATAATTGCTATCAAGACTGTGAGGGTCGGAAATGTAAAGGTAGATATTTTGTAACAAAAGGAGGGAAGTGATTGATTTTGCAGTCCAGGAGTGGAGGTCCCTGGGACCATCAAGTGAGAAGAGCGGAGTGCAGGACCCTACCCAGAGAAGCAGTGACTCCGGATATGGAAGCAGAGATGATGACGAGACGATAACGTGGACAGATGGCGCGACTGGGGACAATGGACTCAGGGAGGGAGAAGGGCTGTGTGCTGACAGCCAGGGAGCAGGCCTGTGGGGTGTACCCTTTAGTTGTTTGATGATGCATGGAGGAGATTGTAATCATTGCAATGAAACAAAATATGATAGGATGAATGTAAAATTGATGTTCTCCCATGTAAACCCCCACAATTCACACACAAAAAAGTTATATTCTAGCTTCGAAGAATAAGATTAACAAAATAATTATTACTAAAAATTAAATGTATCCAAAGTATCTCATAAATGTGTTCCTTTTAAACATATTTTTATTTTAAAGCCTTATATACTGTCTATAAAACCCTTGGTGTTATTAAGTGCTGTGGAGTTGGTTTCAACTCATAGAAACCCTGTATTAGGTTTCCAAGGAGCAGCTGGTGAGCTTGAACCACCCACCACCTTTGCACTTTAAACCGACCTTGCTGTCCATTGCATTAACCCACAGCGCCACACCAGGACTCCATAAAACCCTTGGACTCTGTTTATATACACTAATATAATAAACATGTTCTCTCTGTATTTAAGAGTGATGAAATATATATATACACATATATACACACACACACACACATATATGAGAAAGTATTGTTACTAGGGTTCCAGTTCATACATATATGAGTTTATTCCAACAAAATGAGTTTCAACACATCTCTGAGACCAGTGGATGGCAGCAGACAAACGCTCTCAGTAATAACACTTGTCTTAGTCTCAGTGGTGGTACTGGTGGTGATGCTAGTTGTATACTTTGGAGTCAGTTTCCAAGGTTGTAAGTTTTTACAGAAGCAGAAAGCCTCATCTTTCTCCTGTGAACAGCTGGTATTTCTGAACTGCTGACCTTAAGGTTAGCAGCCTGACTCATAACCACTATGCTACCAGAGCTCCTTTAGTCTCAATAGGGTGCGTTAAAAAAATAAGTCCCATTCAAAACACCGACTTCTGAGATGATCTTCTGGGCCAGCTCAGAAGGTTATGACTACTGTTTTTGGGGATTCCCAAGGGATAATCTTGATATATTTTCTTGAAGGACACAGGATGATCACTGGAGCTTACTAGGCTTCAGAAGTGTAGATGGAAGATATGCCAAGAAACAATAGATTCACATTTAAAATTTTTTTTGTTAAGCAAAGATTTCTATGATTTTGTAGCAATACTTTTGAAAAACGTATTAGAAACTTTATTAAGTTTAAACAAGAGTAAAAACAAGACAAACCAGATTACCCAGGTAAGAGAAATCATCAATGATGCCATGATGAAGTCCAGTAGCAATTTTTTTTAGCTTACCCTTGTATGTACATAAAATCAATCTCCGTATATGTGTGTGTTTAGATGAGGGAGTTTCTTGTTCATGTAAAAATGGAATGAAAAGATAATAGAATTTTTTCTATAAACTGTCAAAGCCCCCTTGTATATATGTTGCTTGTTGTGTGCCCTGGAGTCAGTTCCAAATCATAAGTTCTGAGAGTGGCTGGTGGGTTTGAACTGCCAACCTTGCAGCTACCATCCCAGCTTAATGAGATGTGTGTGTTTGGTGTACATTTGAAATATATATATATTGTTCTTGTTAAGTGCCGTTGAGTCAGTTTTGACTCATAGCAACCCTGTAGGAGATTTCTGAGGAATGCCTGGTATGTTTAACCTGCAGATCTTGTGGTTGTCAGTCAAGTGCTTATTCTACAGTGCCACACTAGGAGTGTCTCTCTCTGTCTCTCTCTCTCCAATAAATTGGAGTTAGCCAGGTAAAGGCTGTGGGTTTGTTGTCTTTAAGTGCTAGTCAAAGTAGTTTCAACTCATAGCAACCTTATATAGGATTTCTGAGGAATGGCTGTGGGGTTTGTAGATCAGTGTTTATCCTACAGCACCACACCAAGACTCCTAAATGCAGTAGGGTAGGGGGATTTTCTTTTAAAACCAGTGGAGATTTTTAGACAAAGGTGTAACATGATCAGACTTATGCTTCTTAAGGAATGTTATGGAGACAGTGGGTTGGTGGGGGATAAAGAATAGAACTGAGGAGACAAGTTAGTCCTCTTTGCTTTCAGCAAGCATATTATCATCTGCATATCGCAGGTTGTTAATAAGTATTCCTCCAAATCTGATAACATGTTCTTCTAAATATAATCGTGCTTCTCAGCATATAGACTGAATAATTATGGTGACAAAATACAACCATAGCACACATCTTTCCTGATTTTGAACCATTCAGTATCCCCTTTTCTGTTCAAACTATGAAGCCTCCAGGTCTATGTATAGGTTCTTCATTAACACAATTAAGTGTTCTGGAATACCCATTCTTTGCAATGTTGTCTATAGCTTGTCATGATCCACACAGTCAAATGCCTGTGCATAGTCAGTAAAGCACAAACATCTTTCTAGTATTCTCTGCTTTCAGGCAAGATCCATTTTGGATCTTCATTCCATATCCTCTTCTGAATCCAGCTTAAATTTCTGGCAGCTCCCTATTCATGTACTATCACAGCCATTTTTTAATTCTCTTCATCAAAATTTTACTTGCATGTGATATCAATGATATTGCTTCATGATATCCAAATTCTGTTGAGTCACCACTCTTTGGAATGGGCACAAATATGGATCTCTTCCAATCAATTAGTTGGGTAGTTGTCTTACAAATTCCTTGGCATAGGTGAGTGAGCACCTTCAGTGCTTCATCTGTTTCTTGAAAGAGTTCAATTTGTATCCCATCAATTCCTGCAGCATGGTCAATGCCTTCAGTGCAGTTTGGACTTCTTCCTTTAGTACCATGTATATGCTGCTTTTGAAATGGTTGAACAAAGACCATTTCTTTTTGCTAGTGACTGTGTGTATAACTTCTATCGGCTTTTGATGTTTTCTGTATCATTCAGTATTTTGTCCATAGAATCCTTCAGTTTGCAGCTTAAGGCTTGAATTTTCTCCTCAGTTCTTTCAGCTTGAGAAAAACTAAGCATGTCCTTCCCTTTTGCTTTTCTATCTCCAGGTCTTTGTACATTTCATTATAATACTTTACTTTGTTTTCTGATGTGCCCTTTGAAATTTTCTGCTCAGCTCTTTTACTTCCTCATCTCTTCCATTTACTTTAACATCGCTATGCTGGAGAGCAAGTTTCAGAGTCTCTCCTGACAGTCATTTTGGTCTTTTCTTTCTTTCCTGTCTTTTTCATGAATTTTTGCTTTTTTCCTGTATGATGTTCTTGATGTCATGTCACAACTCTTCTGGTTTTGGGTCATACAAATGCACCAATTCTGTTGTTGGTCTCTAAATGCAGGTGGAATATGTTCAAGGTGTGGTGCTGTGGGTTAAAGCATGGGACTGCAAAGTTGGTTTGAAGCACAAAGTGGGCAGCTGCTCCTTGGAAACCCTATAAGGGTCTCTATAGATTGGAACCAACTGGATGGCACTTAACAACAACATGTTCAAGGTCATATTTTGGCTCTTGTGGACTTGTTTTAATTTTCTTCAGCTTCAGCCTGAACTTGCAATTGAAGATCTGTTCCACAGTCAGCCCCTGACCTTATTTTGGCTGATGATGTTTTGGCTGATAGAACTTTTACACTGTCTCTTCCTGCAGATATACTCAGTTTGATGCCTGTGTATGCCATCTGGTGAGGTTGTTTTAAAAAAGGTATTTACAATGAATAAGTCATTGTTTTTTGCAAAATTCTATCATGCAATCTCCAGCATCACTTTTATCACCAAGATCATATTTTCCAACTATGGATCCTTCCTCTTTTTTTTCCAACCTTCCCATTGTAAGTAATTTCAGTAATTATCGATAAATCTTGATTACATATTTGGTCAATTTAAGTCTGAAGAAGCTGGTAGAATTCTTCAATTTCATTATCTCTGGCTTTAGTGGATGGTGTAGAATTTGAATATCAGTGCTATTAATTAGTCTTCCTTGTTGTTGTTGTTGTCATGTGCCATCGAGTTGGAACCAACTCATAGTGACCACATGCACAGTAGAACGAAACAATGTCCGATCCTGGGCCAACCTCACTATCGCCACCACACTTGATGCCATCAATGATGTCACCTGGCTGATCCATCTCGTTGTGGTCTTCCTCTTTTTCTCTGACCCTCCACCTTACCCAGCATGACATCCTTCTCCAGCAACTGCTCTCTCCAGAC